GATATAGCAGGTGTTTCAGTACAGGGTGGTGGTGCATGGGACCGTGGTCAAGACGCCGGTAACTGGTGTCCGTGTTAACCCCATGAGTCTATTTGGTTAACTGGTGACTAATGCCGCGTTCCAGGCAACCTTTTACCCGTGTTTTCCCAACCTTATACCCGTGAAAGTGCACTGGAACTGCAGTCAAACCCGTGACTTCCCACCCGTGAACTCGTACTAGATCGATGTACTCCAAGTTACGAGCTCTGACGTCACATCGCCCGCGAAACCATACAAAACAACTATGGTGTGTTTACATCTAGCTACCACAATTCCTTGCGCTCAGGTAGTTTGGCGTGACTGGCCTGGAACGTGACAAAGTCGTGAGTCGTGGTTTGAAGTCGTGATTTACGTGCTCAAAAAACTGCCCGGAACAGCATTACTTGCGCTTAACCCGAAACGATCGGCCGCAGAATCGTCAATTCCTCAAACATACAGCCAGCAACATGTCCGCGTTACTACGTAGGCTAATGTTAGTATTGTTGTAAAAAAAAAAAAAAAAAAAAAAAACCCATTTCATTACTTTTTACAGCAAAAGTACGTTTAATAAAAAAGGTCTTAAAATCCTCGTCGTTTCTAGATACGAACTCGTCCAACAAAACCGCTGATGCCACTTTAGCGAATTATCTAATTGAGCTCATTAACACCTGATTTAATATGTGGTAGGCTACTTAAATCATTCACAATTCTTCTGTTTCATTACTAATAATAGTGTTACATTCTAACTTACTAATAATAGCAGGTAAATTCGTCGCCCTTTCTGCTGAAATAGTCCCACACAGTACTTTTCGCTCGCTTCCTTTTGCTTGCTCGGGAAAAAATGTCTGCAGGCAAGTGTGTGGTTGCGTGTGTCGACGCGCCACGTGAGTTAACCAACCGAGACAAATATGACTGTGTTCCGGAAATAAAGCTGTGATGTGTGAAGAGATTGAGAGGTCATGTTTTTTGCTATTGCACTAAATGTAAAAACAAGTGAAACAGATATAACATATATGTTGAAAACTTGGAATATTTGTAAGGCAACAAATTATGTAGTTATTAGCATTTGTTTCAGCTTATTCTGAAACATAAGTTAGTAAATCAAAATAAACATTAAAAAACAATTAAATCATGGCTGAATTCACTCTGTCTATCCGATTTGTGTTTTTCATTGAAAGTTTTTTGGTAACACTTTACAATAAGGTCTCATTTTGTAACATTAATTAATAACATGAACTAACTATGAGCAATATATTCTTACAGCATTTATTAATCTTGTTAACAAAAACAAATTTAGTGTTACCAACTTTTTAAAATAATTTCGAACAAGAGGTTATGCTGTGAATCCTGTCCTGCTTTAATTTAAATATATTTCCTTTGAGTTTGTACTCTGTAAAAAGTAAATAAATGACAGATTCGCTTAAAAATTAGGTCAACCTATATCTGCCAGAAAACCACAAGACCAGCACAGTTCTTCCTGCCATTACTGCATTTCATCGACACTGCAAGGCCAGATGTTTGAAAAGCCTACCTTATCTCTTCTTTACCAGACAGCTTGGCTGGCGAAAATCCTTTAAACTCTGACAATAGCTCAAACCTCAGTGTGAACGACCTCACCAAAACATTACTTATATAGCCGACACTTTATATTCAGGAGGTGGACAGACACATGGCTTGACAACATGACAGAAAGCCTCCTTTCATTTTACAGTTTCCTGGCAGCAGGTGGAGTACTTTGTTTCTTTTCTGTTGCTTTGAATTCTGTGGTAACAAAGCTGTGCTCGTAAATGCTGTCTTTCTCCTCTTTCACTGTATTGTTTCTGGAGGCTTCAAACCTCCCAAATACATTCTGTGTTCATAAAATGTAAACTATTTACAAAACTGTCATTCTTCTTTGTTTATACAGTACAAATACAAAGCAATACGTTATAAAGAAAAACTGAAACTAGTTCGTACAATTTTATTTTGAATAAAGGCACAGGATTCATAGTGACCGGAAAATCTGTCCTCCCATAACAACGATGAAAAAGAGTGTCTCAGAATTGATACAGCATATCTATGCATACCATAATTGAGTATTTAAAAACATTTTTTTGTTGTATTTTTGGCCCCTCTCATTCTATATCCCAATAATCACAACTAATGAGTACTGTATGTCAAATAACTAAAAGTAATGTACAGTATTTTAATTACATTTAATTATTATGATTTTTAATTGACTTAAAATCGTGTAAAAACACAGTTTAGGAATACCATTTGAGAATATTTCATCGTATACACACCGACAACTGATCCATTAAACATTTTGTTATCATTAATGTGGCACATTTGCACAATGTGAGTGTATAAACACATAGGCCTATAACACAAGTAAGAATTAGCCATTCATGAAAAAGAAAATGCAAATAGATTAATAATATCATTGAATAACCTATTAGTAGTTAAACGTAGAAGAGTTAATGAAAACAGTAACACCATATTGATTATCTAATAAGGGATAAATCAATAGCAATGACCACGTACACACTGCAGTTAAATTCGGTTGTCAGTTCACCTTTTAGTGATTAATCCTGTTCTGAACACGGTTCAGTAATTTACGGGAGTGACCACCGCATTCTACAACCAAATTAACTTAAGAAAAATGTAGGTAGTGACAACCGCATTTACAAAAAAGTGTGTGCGCAACCGAACTGAACAACTAGATGTTAATTACATGTTTAAATGCCCATCAGAGATGTGTCTCTCTTCTGTATGTGTGCGGTGCAAAAAACGAAAAAGAAAAAAAAAAAACAGTAAAAATGGTACAAACTTTGAATCATTCAGGTTGCCAGATCTTGCTAGAAAAAAAAAAAAGAAATGCTTTATATTGAAAACAAGACCAAAATATCGCGACCAGCACCTGCCCACTGTAATATTTCCATAAACTTGATCGCATTACTAACCAAACCCAACAAGCCCAAAACGTGTATAATAAGTGGACATGGCAACACACCAAGAGCGCCCTCTGCATAGCATCCTTAAGGCCAGTTCACACCAAGGACAGTAACTATAAAGATAACGATATAGTTCTCAATATTTAAGAAAACAGCTAAAACGATAACGACACAGAGAAACGATACACTCTAAAAAATGCTGGGTTGTTTCAACCCTATTTGGGGTCAAATATGGACAAACCCAAACGTTGGATTAAAAATGCAATTTAAAAAATGAACCCAATGGCTGGGTTTGTCCATATTTGACCCAAAATTGGGTTGAAACAAGCCAGCATTTTTTAGAGTGTATCATTGGAATCACTTTTCAGAACGATTTTATCCAACTGAGGAACGATAAAAACATTGAAAGCCAATCAGAATCCATCCTGCTGTAACGAGCTCGAGCATTTAAAGTGACAGGCGAGCACACGCTTAGAATAAACAGAGCGATATCGTCCGCTCGTGTGGACGCTAATATAGTTCCCTATCAGTCAGTCACGCTCGACGTTACTTCAGAATTAAAACAACAAATTGAGATCTTGTCTGTGAGCGACGATATATATTATATAATCTGATTTAGATTCTGTTATATATTTTCTTTTCAGGGACGGTGTTTTGTAGGGTTTACCTGCCCTTTTCTTTGAAATCACGTTCGTTCTGTTTTGTTAGTGTATTGAGGGTAATTTGCTTGATTTTGATTTGGATACATTGGATACCTACTGATGAAGGACACGATACAGCCAATATAAAGTCAGGGTTTCATCATGTCTCGATTCTCCCTCGACACAGACCATTCCTGTGCTTTGCGTTCGAGGGTTAAGCATATCAGTACAAAGTCCTCCCCTGCGGGCTGTCCCTGTCGCCTCGTGTCTTCACAAACGTTCTGGATGCGGCCCTTGTTCCTATATATGGTTATCGTTGTTGGTGTGAACGGGCCTTTACAAACATAAACAAAACATGACGCCTCAGGAGATTGTGGTACAGTTAAAATAGCAGGACATAACGAGTCTTTGGTCGCTGTAACATTACATTAGTCAAATTACTTTTGTTTTACTATTTAAATGCGGCTCTCACTCCTGAAAATTTACAGTGTGTATGTGGCCAATGTTTTACATGTATCTGAAATTCTAAAGACGTGGTTGTTGTTGGATGTAATCAAGTGCCTGAATGATATCAATTTTTTTTTATGCATTTCAATGCATGTTTTCTTTAAATGATTTGTAGGCAAATACCAGAAATTTAAATATCATTATAAAATGGCTCTAAAAACACATAAAATCTAAGAGTGGCATTGCATTAGATAATAAAATATCAAACCACATGGGCCATGGCAACTGTAAACAAATGATTCTAGATCTTATCTTAGAGCCAGTGTTATTTTAGTATCCTTGATATACTTTATTTTACATATTTTTAAATTACATTTTATTTGAATGTTTTCTGTTTTAATTTTAAAGTTTTAGTAGCTTTGTTGTTTGTTTTATTACTATTAGTTTAGAGGTTTTTTTTCAGGTTTAGGTTTTACTTTTAGTTTATTTACTTTTAGTTTGATTTATGACTTATATTTAAACTATTTCAGTTGTTTATTTTATTTCTAATAATGAAAATAATGTTTTTTTTTATGCTTTTAGCTTTAGTTTCAGCTAACAATAACACTGCTCAGAGCTAACTTCACATTACTGAGCCGTTTTTGCAGATTTTTAGTGGATGTATAAACGAACTTCTTTTTGTGCTGCTTGGCTTGATTATTTAGTTATCTAATGCAAAGACATTCATAAATATTTGAGTGTGGCTTAAGTGTCAAAATACTTTTTGGAGTCACTGTAGAATTGCCAATTGTGGCATCCCTTTGTGCTACAGCCGGACTATGAAAGATCCACAGCGAAAGGAAACTGTAATGTCCCCAGCTAGACTGGAAACTACAGGGTGTTTTCATCAGCCGTTTGAAATGGTGAGTGTTAATTGTTTCAGTGATTGACAGAATGAATGCTCCGTCAGCGGACCGATTGAAAGCGAGAGTTCCTCGCTCCCGCCTCCCCGCTGCGAGATAAGAACCCTTCTCTCTCGCAGACACACGAGCATCTCCAGGTTCACCGCCACACATGGTCTGAATAGCTGGAGAGGCTCAGATGTGCCTTGCCTGGTCAGCTGTAAACAAACCGGATGGTGCTTTTCTGAAGGCTCCTGTTGAGAAGTGCTAGTCGCTGCGGTTGGATGACATGTGCAGGGGAAGAAGTAGAACAAAAGAGCCGGTCAGTACATGAGATCCGCAGCTCCTGTGCTAACGTCGGACTCTTTGGCCTCCTGAAAGGGGAACTGGATCCCAGCGAGGCGGATGAGCAAGATGTTGAGACCGTGCGTGAGGAAGGCGAGGAAGATGAGCCAGAAGGATCTGTCGTACCTCTCACTTTGGGTTTTGTAGACGAAGCTGACCTCGTTGAAGTTGAAGATGATCTCGGTCAGGTGATGCAGCTTGACCTCAGAGGAGAACAGAATAAGGACCAAGCAGCCACAGAAACCTGGCAGGAGAGAGAATAATACTGCTAAAAGCTGTTCTTTATGGAAGTCTGTTTCCACCACAGAATAAAAAAATGAAAAAGTAATTTTCTTGCAATTGCGAGTTTATATCTCACAATTCTGAGAGGAAATAAGTAAGAATTAAGAGTTTTTAAACTCATTATTTATAAACTCGGGATTGCGAGTATTAAACACAGAATTTCCTCTAGCTCAAACAGTAGAGCATTTGTGCTTGCAACCATAGATATCCATAATAAAGGCTAGATGTCTCGTCCGCGCTGCTGGCCAATGGAGGTCGACGTCCGCACCTGGCGGCCATCTTGTCACAGGCAGCTCGCTCAGTCGTAACATTGTGTTTTAATGGTGCATGTACTTTTTAAATAACCATTACTTGCTCAATTTTCTATCGGTTTTCAAACGGTTTGGTTTGTTATAAACGTCAGAGATGTAGTTATGACACTGCATACTTATGAATAATAAGTGTATAAATAATCATCCAGAATTATAGCCACGTTAATAACGTTTGTAACAAACCAAACCGTTTGTAAATCCGTCAAGATTTCAACGAGATAAGAGTATTTGTGTTCGTGCTGACCACTCATCTTACATCAGGTACCACAGAGCCCGCCAGAAAGCTTGCCTGTGACAAGATGGCCGCCGGTGATGACGATAGAGACTCCGCCGTAAGACATCTAGCCTTTATTATGGATATCTATGCTTGCAACGCCAAGGACATGGGTTCCATTCCCAGGGAAAGCAAGAACTGATAAGAATGTAAATGTGTACCTTGAAATGCAATGTAAGTCGCTTTGGATAAAAGCGTCTGCCAAATGCATAAATGTAAATGTAGTATTGTAAGATATAAACTCGAAATCATAAGATATAAAGTCACAATTATGAGAAAAAAAGTGTTCATTGTGAGAGATTTATTTTATTCTGTGGCAGAACAACGCTATCTCACGACCAATTCGTACGAATTCGTATGAGTGAGTAAAAGGTGGCTAATTCGTATGAATTCATACGATTTGTCTAAACCCACGTGATGCGTAGGTTTAGGGGCGGGGTCAGGGGTAGGTCATTCGTACGAATTCATACGAATTGGGAAACTCGTAAAATATGTACGATTTACCAAAAATCGTAAGAGTGAGGTCGTTTGAATTCGTACGAATTAGCCACCTTGTAAAATTCGTACGAATTGCCGTGAGATTGGGTTGGGCAGAAACAAGCTTCCCTAATTCTTAAAAGGTTAGTTCACCTAAAAATGAAAATTAGGTCATCATTCTCATGTTTTTGAGCTACAATGAATGTCAATGGGGTCCAAAACAACATTGGACTTTTATTGACTTCCATTGCACGGACAATGTATGTTGTTTTGTGTTTCCCTGAAAAAAGAAAGTCATATAGGCTTGTAATGTCATGAGTAAATGATTCATATTTGTGTGATCCATTTAAAGTCACCTTGAAATCAAAATGGACAATTCTTAATTTATTATGGAAAACTGCAATATTTATTATAAATGATTTATCCATGCACATCATTATTAATGTATCCTCGTAATGTTTAATCAAAAGCTTCCCCTCCCTCTTGCAGCTCATTTCTTCTCTTCTCTGATGATGTCACTCACACAGTGGCGGATTTAGCAAATTGGGGGCCCAAGGCGAAGGTAGTATGGGGCCCCCCATCCGATCTTTAAAAGAGAACGAAACTTTTTTTTTTTTTTTGAAAAATAAACCATTAAATGGCACTTTCTGGAGAGTTTTGTGCAAAGAAATATAGAAATAAAGTAGGTCTAGAAAGTCTTATATTTCTGTAATTCACACAGATCAAACACAAATATGCTGACTGAATAGATTGCTAGTTGAGAAACACTGGTTTAATTAATGTTTTTATGATGACTTTGTGAAAGGTTAACTAAACAGCATGAGCCGTCTTCCAGCTGGCCAGTAAGTTATTTGGCAAATTTCATTCATACAGATCTGTATTATGCTTTAGTTTTTGATAGTGTTATACATTTCTTACAGATAATCACAATGTTCATTGCGTTTGTCTTACCGAATGTGGTAGCTTTATGCAATTACAGTTTGTCTATAAGCTTTTTTTTATTAATGCCGACAGTAAAATGTTGCCAGATATTGCTACGAAAAACAAAACAAAATAATAATAATAATCCGAAATAAGTTCAAAGCTTGTGTTTTGGAAATAAGGTTAATATATCACTAACCCTAACATGCAACTTTCCACTTTAATAACTTCCTAAAGTGTCACATTAAATCAGAAAAACCGGTTACGACTACTGCCACCTCTTCATTAGGTGGATCTGGCAACACGGAGGCTGCACCCGCGCCCTCACTCACAGCGCGCTCTCAAGCCCCGTTCACTGCGCTAGCTTCTCGCAGCAACATCAATTTCAAACACTCATATGAGGTGGTTTAAACGGCTAATTAATCATTCAGAGAGCTTGACATTTTTTTTTTAATGTCAAAAAAATGACAGAGTTCAGGACCTCGGTCACCTAATAGCTTGCTACGACCATGGACTAGTAACATATCGTTAGCATTGTTGTCATTGTCAGCGGGCATCACAAAAAAGTTTGTTACCTTCTGCAATTTTTCTGCACCGCTTGGGTAAGCTTTGCTTCATTTTTACTCTTGTGTACTACTCTGTACACTCTGTACACTGTCTGTTAATCACTTATTTTTCTCCGTCAGTTTTTTTTTGGCGCATTACAGCCTTGTCACTTTCGCACGCAGAAAGTGAGATAATGTAATAGTCCAATGTAGTGAGGTGGGGGGCCCCCTCCTGTCTGCGACACTAATGATTTGATGCTTTTTTTCGCAAATGTTTTTTAGAAATATATAATTTGCGAAAAAAAAAAAAAAAGAAAAAGCTTAAGCATAATTTAATGGGGCATTTTGGGGGCCCCTAGGTAGCTCGGGGCCCAAGGCAATTGCCAACCTTTGCCTAATGGTTAAGTCCGCCCCTGCACTCACACGAGATCCACCAATAGCAAACCACGACCATCCAATCAATTCCTAATTGACAAAATCAAGTCCCGCCCTACATTTGTCCTTGTTCGAGAAGCCGTTTCACTACGTCACAATAAAGAAGAAAAGAAAATTACAACTTCCGTTTCATGCTGGCTTTAAATGAAAGAAGTCTCAGAGCCACCATCGTTGAGTTTAGCTGTATTCTTGAAGCTTGGGTTTTTACCACATCCCTTTACTGTAAAGGAACTTTGCTTAACTTGCCATTTATAAGTGCACTTTATCTGGCCAAGTATAAGAGATACTTTATCTGCATTTTACGGTGGCCGAGACAGCTCAACGCGCTGCAACTGAAGCAAACAGACAAAAACGCATGCAAATAGAAAAACACGCGTGCAAATAGAAAAACACGCGTGCAAATAGAAAAAAACACCAGCAAATTAAAAAAACATCTTCATCAGTTTCACAACACACGTGTGCTCCAAATAAGGAAACGCTCTGCAAAAGTTCACAACACAACCAAATACAGAAACGCGCTGCAAATAACACAGACCACAACGGAAATGTTTCCAGGGGAACCAAATAAGTGACGAACCCGGCTGAGACGTGCTTATTGCTCGTGAGCTTCCCTATGCCATACTCCCTTCGAAGGGCAGATTGCAGAGCCCTTTTGGAGTGAGCAAGGCTCTAGTGTGCTGTTAGGCAGCCGTGTGGAGCGCACTTGATGAAGGGAGCAACGAAAGACAACGTGGGATGTTCCCATGACAACGCAGCACGGTGTCCATCAGCTGGTCTTACGACAGAAATATGATGCTGTTAACATAACGGATGCAAATACATTTTTATTTTAGTTTACAAAAAAAAGCTTTTAAAATATGCGTTATATATCTGTCTCAACTTTAAAATTTTGGACCCTACATTACCTAACATTTCTTACGAAACTTTTCTTTATGAAAATGTAATAACATGAAACAATTTGTACAGTGTAACTGATGTATAGATAAATATCTTTCCTTCATGTTTTTCTTCTTTATCTTTTTTATTTATTTATTTTAGTTTCCAGCTCATTGTTCTTTTCTCATTTGTATTCTGATGACATTGAACATATTGTTAATACATTTTGTACATTGTATACAAGTTGTATGTCATAAAAAAAATTAATCTCTGTATGTTTTGCACAAACAAATAAATAAATAAACAAATAAATAAAGTATAATTTTAAGCTGTAAGCACCAGCACGCATAGATTTATGGATATCAATGCCGGCACGTCCCAGCCGGGTTCGTCACTTATTTGGTTCCCCTGGAAACATTTCCGTTGTGGTCTGTGTTATTTGCAGCGCGTTTATGTATTTGGTGGTGTTGTGAGTATTTGGAGCACACGTGTCTTGTGAAACTGATGAAGATGTTTTCTTAATTTGCAGGTGTTTTTTTTATTTGCACGTTTTTTTCTATTTGCATGCGTTTTATTTTATTTGCATGTGTTTTTTTCTATTTGCACGTGTTGTTTTCTATTTGCATGTGTTGTTTTCTATTTGCATGTGTTTTTTTCTATTTGCACGTGTTGTTTTCTATTTGCATGTGTTTTCTTCTATTTGCACGTGTTGTTTTCTTTTTGCATGTGTTTTCTTCTATTTGCACGTGTTGTTTTCTATTTGCATGTGTTCCCTTTCGAAGGGAACTCAACAATACGTCATCGACGTTATGGGGAACGCCTCAGGCGTGACAGGTGTCTGAAATCACTATCAAATCACGTCAATCACATTGACCGGCGACAGCCCGTGAATCATTAGCGTGAATGATTAACATGCGACCTGGAAGTATATAAGGGCGCCTTGCAAACATGACAAATCATCTTTTCGTCTTCAGGGACTGTTTTGTCTGTAACTGCTTTGAAAATCAGGTAATTATGAAATGCTTTCAGAAGTGTGCAGACCCGTGCTCAAGATATCTGAAGCCGGGTGACACACGCGAACTGTGCATTTTTCTGTTTGGGAAGGAAGACGCGCACAGGCAGT